TATGGGAAAGGAGCCTTGTGTGTGTGTGTTTTGTTTTGGTACAATGTTACTGTTCTTTGGTTCATTCAAAATGCTGGTTTCCATGGTTGCATATTTTAAAAATCGGCTATGATTCTAGTCTTTGTTTTTTGGTATGCAACATGTCCCTCCTCTAACAACCTACACTTAATATTTGTCATTATTACTGGTTTCGAACAACTTGACTCTGATGTACCTTTATGAGTGTGCACATGTGTGTTTAATGTTTCTTGTTCTTGGGGTTTGTCAAGGTTTTTGAACCTGTGAATCTATGATTTTCATTAAGTTTGGAAAAATCTTGGTCATTATTTCTTTAAATAGTTTTTATGTCTCCCTTTCTCTTTCTTTTCCTTTTTTAGTGGCAGTGGGGAGGGGGTAGGGTGGGGACTCCAATTATACATATGTTATGTGGCTTGAAGTTGTCCCTAATATTGTTCTTAATTGTAATTCTTTTTTTAATTTTTGTATTTAATTTTGGATACTTTTTATTGCTATGTTATTAGTTTCACTCATTTTTTTCTTCTGCAATGTCTAATCTTTTCCATTCCCTTCCATGTGTAATATAGTTATAATAATTGTTCTATTGTCTTTGTTTGCTAATCCCAACACACACATTCAGTTCTGACTTGGTTTCCATAGGTTGATTTATTTCCTCATTATTAGTCATATTTTTCTCCTCCTTTAATGCCTGATAATCTTTGACTGGGAACCAGACATTGTGTTTTTATCTTGTTAAATCCTAGATAGTTTTATATTCCTATACAATTTTTTAAAATTTATTCTGGAACACATATTAAATTATTTATAGATGGTACGATCTTTCTGGATTTAACTTTCAAGATTTTTAAAGGAAGAACCACAGTAGTATATAATCTAGAAATACTTATTTTATAATACTGAAACAAGGAATTCTGCAACTAGTGTCCCATGAATTCTAATGTTTTTCAGTCTGGCTGTTGGGAACAAACACACATTTTCAGCTCTGTATGATTTTCAGACATGGAATCTTTTCAATAGGTTTTCTTTTTCAATCTTTTCTTAGGTTAGTTAGTTTCTTCATATGCATGCACTGATTAGACCCTCTGCAGAGCTCTGGGTTCCTCTCTGTATACAACTATCTTCTCTCTAGTCATGTGTTCTGCAAACTCTAACCTGCTTGGTATCCCCGGACTCTCACCTTTATATTTATCCTCAGATAAATCAAGGAACCCATCCGGGCCCCTCCTCTTTGAGCCACAGACTGGGAAAGCAATAATAAAGCTCAACAGTCATAGGCCCTCTTCATTTGCTTCCTGTCTTTCAGGAATTACTCTCCTTCATTGCCTGATGTCAAGTGTCTTGCAAATAATTGCTTTATATATTTTGTTTGTTTTTAGTTGTTTCAGGCGGAAAGGTAAATCTTGCTCCTATTGTTCCCTTGGAAGTGAGCCTTTTTCCTTTTTAGGCATGTTAAAACACAGACTGTGGGTCCTGGCCCATGATGAACCCTTTGGGTAGTCTTGAAGAGCTAGACAATATTATCTTCTCTGCTTAAAATAAGTTTAAAATTTGAGGAGACAGGAAGAGTGTTCTAGCTAGATAAATAAACTACAGAAAGGATGGAGTGTGAGTACGAAGATGATGCTATACGGGTGTGAGAGAGGACAGAAAGAAGAATGTCCTGGAGGAGGTGGCCCACCTAACTACACCACGAGAAAGGGAGCTTACCGGCTAGGCTGGACCCTAAAAAGAAGAAAAGAGAGAAAGATGCCAAGACACAGATAGTCACAGCTTTAGGGAAAAGTTGGCTTTTATCCTTTAAAACCATAGCAAGCTCTGACTGCTCTGACAAATACAGTTCTCTATTTATTCTGGTGTGCCAGAGTGGGGATGCTAAAATGAGGGCCTTCCTTCTGAGCCGCCTGGGAACCACATCTGAGCATTTGAGATAATGACATTCTGAGTTTGAGATGTGACTCGCATTCATTTCACACACCTGTGTCTTTCCCCTCCCCTAAACTGCTCCCCATACCACGGTCGGAATTGACTTTCCTCACTCTCATTCCTTGCTTCTTTTTTTTTTTTCCCCTAGCAGCTGGCAAGCTTCCGATGTAGTGCTAAATTATAATTCATACCATATATTGTAACAGCCCTATTTTCTTATTACATCATCTAATTTGATAACATGTTTTTGGACTGAGTATCGTTTCTCATGGGCTGAGGTAGAAATGTCAGGGATATGGATGAGGAAATTAAAGCTCACAAAGATGATGTAATTTGCTCGGGGACACACACTTGGGGGTGCTGGGGAGCTGGATTAAGCTTTTCAGAAGGTTTGCATGTCTAATTCCTTGTAGTTTGGCAGACAAATGACAAGTCCCTAATCTGAGAAGCACAGCCATATATATTGTCTGAGAATAGCAATGGTGGGTTACATCAGGTGGCTGTAGTAGGCGTAGACAGCCCAGTTTGTTGACTCCTGAGCAAGATGACCCTTTGATGGTAGAGGGAATAGTAAAATGCTGATTCATAATTATTTTACCCTTATTTCAACATTTCTAGTTTTTGAGTATTTTTCATAATGTACATTAGTACCTCATGCACCTGGTACATACAGGTACACAGGTATGTACCGGTATATGTTTATCTATGACAGCAGTTCTCAACCTGTGGGTCACGACCCCTTGGGGGTCGAACGACCCTTTCACAGGGGTCACCTAAGGCCATCCTGTATATCAGATATTTGCATTACTTTTCATAACATTAGCACAATTACAGTTATGAAGTAGCAACAAAAATAATTTTACGGTTGGGGGTCACCACAACATGAGGAACTGTATTAAAGGTCACAGCATTAGGAAGGTTGAGAACCACTGATCTATGACATGCATTGGTAGTCAGTACATGCTCAAAATCATTTCACTGGAGACAAGAAATAAATCATGGATAACATTCAATAAGCAGATACTTTGTGCCAGATGTGGTTCTAAACACTTTATACAGATCAAGTCACTTAATCCTCATAACTACCCAATGAGGAAGGGGCTACTTTTATCCTCACTTTACTTTTAAGAAAACTGAGGCAATGAAATGAAGCTGTGTGGTTGAAAAGCTCACCCATCACTTTCTCTGGACCGGCAAATCTGTGAGTGCTGTGGTCCTGAGTTTGGGGGTTCATGTGTGGTGCTGAGAGTACACAGTGTTGATTCAGAGTGATGGGTGGGCAAAGATTAATAGTTCATGAACATCTACTTCATGTCAGATGCCACGTTAGGGGGTAAACATTTGCAACTCATGTAGGCAGGCACCATGAGAACATAGTGCTTAGTACCACAGTAGCCATGTGAAGAAGGTATTGATTTTCCCATTTTACAGATGAGGAAACTGAGGCTCAGACAGAATAGGAACAGATTTAGAGTTGCACTACTAGCAAGTGAGGGGGCTCGGCTGAAGTGAAATCCAGCTTTTGTTTAGTTCTGACTATCTAATTCTTGGCTACTTACTGTCCTTCAAAGTTGGAACACAAACCAAATCCTCCAAACTTAGAGGTTCTCAGGAAGCTGTTGTCCCACAGAATATAGGAAACTAGGGCTTTTCTTGTTCCTAGGTGGGAAGGAGTCCCAGGGAACATAGTCTGACCCATGCAGCCCCTAAAACAGGACCTAGTCCAATCTTGCCCTGCACATCCCTAGGAAAAATCTGATTTCTCCTGTAGGAAGTGGGCCAGGGTCAAGAATAAGGCAGATATGGTTCAAATTACAGTACCAAGCCTTGATAACTAAATTAAAAAGACGTGGAAGGAAGGACAGAAAGAAGGAAGGATGAAAAGAGGAAAGAAGAAAGGAGGTCAGGCAGGATTGGTGCTGAGTGGCACTGAGCGAGTTGCTTTCTGAGCCCTGGTTTTATCATCTGTAACATGGGGACAGTAAAAGCTTCTACCCTGTATCTTTGGATGATTTAATAATGGCATTCCTACTAAATAGATGCTCTGGACTAGCAGGTGGAACGAGGGGAGGCTTGCTCTCCTTGTCCCTTGTGAATGTTTCCCAGAGCCGTTCTCAGGCCCAGAAGCCACGATACAGGCTTCTTCACCCACATGTTGGAGGGGTCTCTGAGTGGGGCAGCCTCTTAGATAGCAGAAGTCTACCTGAGTCCTCAGGGTCCAGGGTTGTTTGGGGTCTGGTGGGACATCCCAGCTGCTCTCCCACAGGGCACAGAAGTTCTTCCTCACTACCTGAAGGTCTGGGTCATGGCTACCAGACCCCACAGGTTGATGTTAAGGCCCGGGGACAGACCAGTGGCTCTGTGGCCAAGAGAGGGTTAGGCACACATTATGATCTCAGGGGTCCTACTGGGCTGTCTCCTGATCAGGTGGGCTTCAGGGACGCCCTACATGACTTTATGTTCCTTTATGGTTTTTTACTTTAGTAATTCATGACCCACCCTTCCTTCCTTCCTTCCTTCCTTCCTTCCTTCCTTCCTTCCTTCTCTCCTTCCTTCCTTCCTTCCTTCCTTC